TATTAAAAATTTATGTAATAACTATCTATAACTGTTACATGAGTTTTCCTTAATGATTAAACATTGGGTAAATCTTATGTAGATATAGTTATTACTGTGTATCACTTATTACTGGGTAAATCTTATGTAGATATAGTTATTACATATGTATCTTATCTGAATAATTTTGTGAATTATTTGATTTAAACTAAATCATTATTTTGTTACCGCGGCGGAGCGCCTGCCAAAAAACTAGCAATACTAAAAATGAAATATAACTTTTACTTTAGAACTATGATCTCCCAACCATAGGGGTTAGCTAGCTACTTATTCACACTTTTGATAGCATATTTGGTAGCTAACTTGATTTAGCTTAGTGTTATGAAGAATCGATAAGTTTCAATAACACGAGTTTTGAGAGAGTTTTATTTATGGATCTTCTATCACTCTTTTACACATTTCCTAAAAAAAACCAAATAACGTTCTTGAAATTCGCACAAACTCACCATAACTTGTGGTTAAATCAATTGTAAATATTGGGGTCATGGAGATTTGAACATGAGACGTCATATGATCAAACAAGCTTTGATACCACATAAAGATTTAACTAAACCTAATAACTCTAGTTGCTGAAAAATTGTTGGTTATGTATCTTCTACCACTCTCTTACAAGTTACACCCTACCCTGCAGAAGACTTACAAGGCAAAGTCAGATGGAAAGAGAAAGCAAACAAAAGCAGCAACAAAGAAACAAGGGACATCATAGGTTCGAAGATGGCAAAAAAAATTAGCGACAATCACCATTATAAAAAAAAAAAAAGAATGCGACTTCATAATTAAATTAACTTTGATACTATATAATTAACTTTAATAACTCGAGTTGTTGAAAATCTTCTACCATTCTCTTACTAGTTTTAGGTGAGTAAATAGATGAGTTAGCCGGGACCACGTACATGAAGGAGGTCATTACATGTTCCATTATTCAAGTCGCAGCACACGTGTGAATTCTTGGCCATATGATATAATGTTATAATGTTATATGATGATTTCTTATTTCTCCTGTTCTTTCATTTCCGAAAAGGATGAACATATTCATAAAAAAAAAAGGATGAACATTTTATGTGTTCTGTCTTTTTTGTTTCGCTTTGCCCCTCATCAGCATGATTTCTTATTTCTCCTTTTGATGTTATTTCATATGCAGCTCTGCATATAGTTCAAAACAAATGTAGCTAAAATTTTGAACGCTTTTGGTTCATATACAGCAGTGTGACTTCAGCTGCTCAACTCGTTTTTCAATGATAATGTATGTATTGAATGAGTGTGAGACCATGTTGGACAGCAGTTAACAAAATCAAAAGGAGATAGGATGATAACATCAATGTGTCATTTTTCTATATATTAACGGTTTTCATGAAAGATAAAAGAGTAAAGTCAACAACAACAACAAAAAAAAACCAACAAGATCATATTTAATCAAAATCCAAACTATTTATCCCCACCTATCTCAATCACGCCTTACCATATCTTACTTTACTCTTCCATTCCCATCATTTCCGCAGTAAATCAGTTGGTCTCAATAACTCGAGTTATTGGGAGAAGGTTAATTATGGATCTTATAACACTCTCCTACACACCTCCTTAAAATAAAAGCCAACTCATAAGTTTAAAGGTTGCACATGTCCACCCGAGATTATCGTGGCAGGATGTGTTTAGGAACAGAAATAGGGGAGAGTTAGACGAAGATATACATATGCCAGATCTATTGGTCTAATGTTCACCATTGGTATGAAAATATAAGTCTATGAGATCTAGTGATTCGTCAATTTCACATTATGTTCATTCTATAAGGGTGTTCAGTTGTAGTAGCTTAATCTGTAAGGCTAACCACAACTGGAAGGGGAAATTAGGTGGCTAAATACTAAAATGTTCTTTTAGCCTTATCAAAAACAGAACCTTGTGAAAATTCTTTCTCTTACACGGAGGCAGTGCGACAAGAGTGGTGGTGAGATTAGAGTTGGACTATGAGGTGTACTTGAGTCACCGAATTCTCAAGCACCGGCGATGAGAGTTGATAGTTTTTGTGAGCACGAACTGAACCTAAACAATCACAAAAGATGTCGAAAATAATATTTCCAGTTTTAGCGCAAACATGGAAAACTAGTGTACTTTATAGTTTTATGCAGTTCTATAGAGTGGCTTCTCAGGCATCTGATATGTTTAATAAGAGTTGTGTGTTTTGTCATGTTTCTTGTCTGCTCCGGAATTTCTAATCTGCTTCATTATACTTCTACTACAAAAAAAAAACGGTCATTACTGACGACACTTTTTTTGTCGAAAAAACTGTGTTGTGTCAAAAGTCGTGAGAAAATGTCTCGTCGGTAATACTCTACTTCAGATATACGATCGGAAAAAAATATTATTATAAGCTCCAAGACCTCGTTGATAAAACCAAATTAAGACTAATTCTATAAGGCTAATTCTGTGTCGTCAATAAGTTTCCGTCAAGACTGTCTGTCATTTTTGTAGTGTTAGGGTCAACTTTATGACTTTTTTGTCTATTTCATGAAACTTGTGGTCAGCTTTGTGGTGTGCTCTCTACGTTTTATGATTGGCTTTATGAGATTTTTATGATGTGGCGTGTTTTTTTATTGTCTGGTCTCAGTTTTCTGGTCTACTTCATGATATTTGTGCTTAGTTTTATGCGCTCCTCGTATGTTGCATGAAACTTGTAGTCAGCTTTGAGTTTTCTAGTATGCTTTCTGAGTTTGGTGGTGTTGTGAGCTTCTCATATGTTTTATGAGTTTTCTTATATGTTTTATGTTATTTTGTGGTGCTGTTTATCATGTTTCTAGTATGTTCTATGATACTTGATGTACACATGCTTGTTTCTTTGATAATTTAAAGAAAAATGATAAGCACGTCCCTCCTTTTAAAATTCAACATTAAATTATGGTCAACGTCTTCAATATAACAAGAGACAAAATTTCCCATTATATGGAGTTAGTATTCTCATCCTAAAGATATTAGAACCCTAACCCAACACTTGTTATTAGTGAACTATGATCACTCGGTTAGAGAGAGCTCTTGATGGCTTTGAAGAACCTATGCCTCTCCTATTTACTTTTAAATCTTTTTTCAAATTCACTATAAAATGTTGCTACAGCTGAGTGGGTAAATTTTTTCTTCCTAACAATAAACAAAGTTAACTTTCTTGATGGCGGAATTATGGGGAACACGTCAAATCCGACCAACCAATACAGTTTATTCACTGTTTTAAAAGCCAATTATGCCCTCTCACTTGATTGTAATTTTCATTTTCTCGAACCGTTTAGACTATTATCTTCTGGATTAATGTTGATAATTTCAATAATACTTACAAAAATTACAATAATCATTATATAATGTTTATGTAATATATGTTTATATGATCTAATATATACTAATATTGTGTTAAGTAAACTAAAAAAAATAATTATAGAAGCCTTTCTTAATATATTTTTTAAACTCTTACATAAGAAATATATGTCATCGTTTCGTTAAACACATATGTCAAACTGTTATATTTGTACAATTTATGTGGCTTTTTATCTAAGTTGTGAAAATGATGTTTGAACGGTCTTTTTACATAATGAAGATTAATACTGCATTTTTTTTATTTCTGAGAAGATTAATACTGCATTACATAAATTGTTAAATTATTATGGAAGTCATACGTAAGACGTCTAATTTAACTTCTACTTGGTAATATTGTCCTTTAATCTTACATAACAGTCTAAAATGACATTTCATAAGTCTTAAATAACCGGTGATCATTTCTACATAACGAATAATAACACCATATTACGTGAAGTGTCAAATCATTACGAAACCATTACATAATTGAAATTACTTAATGATCAACGTAGTGTTTGTATTGCATCCATTTGAATGGCTTAGATTTATTCGGAAAAGTTCAAGTAATCTAACTCGGACAAAAAACACCAAGTTACCGTAGGAGGTTCTATACAATTTTGTACATTTTCGCAAGTTTTTTTCTCTCCCTATTTTCCCGAAAAAGAAATTTCCACGCATATATATATATGCTATTGAACCAAGATATGCTGAGAAGAAACTTGACCCTAAAATCCATACCCTACAATCTCCAAATTGAAAAATCTACACCAAGGCGGCCATTGTTAGCCTTTTTTCCCCCCTGAAAAACCTATAAACAAGATAAGTAGAGAGAACAAAGGCTTGCATTTTGTTGAAAAATGCGAAGTGGTGTTTGGACGTATTCTGTAATTGTAAAATTGGTGGCGAGACAGACAGATCCACATGTTTAAAAGCTAGTCCTCTGACCTCACTCCACAAAGACGATCCTTCTCTTCTGTCTGCTGTGTACTCTCTCTAGTCTTACATGGTAATTAGTAATTTCCCATTTCCCGTGTCAATAGGAATGGCAATGTGCAATGTCCGGGACGGGTTTTTTGGTACCTAGATCCATCCCATGGTAGGTCGGGTAATTTATCACGGGTTGCGGGTCGGGGCAGGTCGACCCAATGGATATGCAATTTATATGAAAAACATTAGAAATATTCGTTATTTTTATTATAACACCAAGAAAACAAACAATATTATGATAAATGTAGTTAAATTATTGGAGAAATTGAGGTTTTCACTAATTTACAACTTTATTATAGCTAAAATATGATGTAATAAAATGAAATTCTTAAGTAATTTGCCTAAAATTACATGTAATTTAGAAAAGAACGGATCGAGAATGGGACGAGTCAGGACCGGTCGGATCGATGAAAGTACCCATACGCGCCCCAAAACAGGCCAAACGGATCGGGTAAAAGGGATGAGGTCGAAATTACCATCCCTACGTGTCAAACATACTCTCTATATAAAATTATAAATAAATTGAATTCACACCCACACGCCCAAACACGCACGTAACATAAAAAAAATAATAAATATATATATATATATATATATATATATATATATATATATATATATATATATATTGTGGTGGTGAGGTCAGTGTGTCCAAGATATAGCCAACACAAACAATAAGCAGCAGCAGCTTCTCTCCTCTCCCAATTGTCTCCTCCCTTCCACTCTTTATTCTTCTTCTCTTGTTTCTCCTTTGTTCTTCCTCCTCCCATTAAACAAGAGAAGAGAAGAGTTTTTTTTCTTTTTTCTATCTGGGAAATGAAGGGAACAGTGAGGTACTTGGCAGGGATTGCAGGCCCAAGTGGGTTTGGCTCCAAATCCACAGCCCAACAAGTCACTCAACATTGTCTTCCTCCTCCTCCTCCTTCTTCTTCTTCACCAACCCCTTTAACTGCCATCATCACCGGTAATTAACTCAATTATACCTCGTAAGATCATCCTCAATAGCTTGCTCAAGCATTCAGCTCTTGTATGTATGCCTTGAGGTTGAAATCAAACAAAGAAACTGGTTTTCTTATAATTTTCCCGGTGCTCCAACTTCTCCTCCTTCTTCTTGCCGACGTGGATATGCAAGTATCAGGTGGTTTGTATATATTATTATTCAAATAAATCGGGATATGGCTTTTGTCTCATCTCTTGATTCTCTGCTCCGATACATACTTAATTTGTATGTACTCTGTCTAACTTTTCTACTCTTTAATTTTTTTTTTTTTTTTTTGCTGCCAAATTTCCTGACTTTTTTTTTATTACTAAAATAGAAGTAATTGCTATTATTATTATTATTATATGCAGGGGCGACATCAGGGATAGGAGAGGAGACAGCAACGGTGCTGGCGAAGAGAGGGGTGAGAGTTGTGATTGCAGCCAGAGACGTGAACAAAGCTTCCCGCCTGAAACAGAGCATCCTCCACCAGTCTCCTGATGCACAGATCGTGGTTCTGGAGCTTGACTTGAGCTCTTTCGCCTCCATCGCCTCTTTCTCCCGCCAATTCCTCTCCCTTGGCCTCCCACTCCACATCCTCATGTACGTTGTTGTAACCCACCGAGCTATTCTGTTACTATGCAGCAGCAGCACCACTCTTTTGTGTTCTTTTACTTAAATCCCCCATTCTGTTTTCTTGGTAGAAACAATGCTGGGATTTACTCCCGGGGCTTGGAGTTCTCCGAGGACAAGATCGAGATGACATTCGCTACCAATTACTTGGGTAAGTTGTTTTCATGGAGGGAGAGAGATGTTTGAGGAGACAGAGCAGAGCAGAGCAGAGGGAGACTCTGTTTTCTCTCATTGGCATATCCGTACGTGTGTGTCATTGTCTCTGTTTCCTTCCTTTTGTCGGGTGTTCTGTCGTAAAGCTAAGCTACTGCATCCATCACCACTAAACCATCCACCAAAAATCAAGGGGGGTAAATTTCCCTTCTTCATGATTACTGCTATTTTTTCACTTTCACGATGTAACCTCTCGTAGTAAAAAAAGTTACCTGCTGTTCTTACAAAAAAAAAATAAGAATGAAAATGGTGTCACGGTCACCGTCCGAGAAAGCCATTCGATATGGGCTAATTGGATAAAGGCATGCAAGAGATGGATATTTAGGCCCGTGTACTCTCAAGGCCAATTTCCAATTCCCAATGGGCCGCCCATCTCAAGCCCATAACCTTTTTTTTCCCTTGCTTCTGTTTTCCGTGGTAGTGTGGGGTATATGATCCACAATTGAACATCTCTTCCAACAACTCGAGTTATTGGTAGCAACTGGTTCTTGATTTGGTATCAGAGCCTTATGTGACCGAGAGGTCTTGTGTCTGAATCCTGGTAAACCCCATTTGTTAAGCACATGGTATGTGGACCTGTGCAAACTTCAAGCCCATGTGAGTGGCTTTTGTTTGAGGGGGCGTGTTAGTGTGTGGTTATATGATCCATGATTGAACCTCTCCTAACAACTCGAGTTATTGGGAGTAATTGGTTCTTGATATTCTCTTTGTGCAACTATCTACAGGGCATTTTTTGCTGACAGAGTTGCTGGTGGAGAAGATGGAGGAAACCGCACGAGAGAGTGGGACGCACGGCAGAATCGTCAATCTTTCCTCTGCGATTCACAGCTGGGTGAAAACAGACTCCTCCTTCTCCTTCCAAAACATGCTCAACCCAACCCAGTAAGTAATTCACAAGCTTTTTTACACAGCACCACCAACCAAACCGCTATGGATTAGAAAAAATGGACATCTTTATCTTATGTTACTAATTGTTTATGGTGCAGCAGCAGCTATAATGGGACACGTGCGTATGCTAAGACCAAGCTGGCCGCCATTTTGCATGCCAAGGAGCTCTCCAGACAGCTCAAGGTTCCCTCCTTTTCCCTCACCACCACCACCACCTTTCTTCTCTCTTTTCCTTCCATTCAGCTTCTTCTGAGACCACAAACAACAAATGTTACTTTGCTTTTTCTTCTCATTATTACAATTCCAGGCAAGGAATGCAAAAGTGACGGTTAATGCAGTACATCCAGGCATTATCAAGACGGGCATCATTAGAGCCCACAAGGGTCTCATCACAGGTCCCCTCTCCTCCCTTCCTCGCTATACACAAAAAAGAATTTGCGCATTATATAGGGACTGATTACGGTGCTAATTGTACAAGAGTTAGCACCGTCCTAACCAAGGGTTAGTAGTGATTTAGTTTAGATGTTGTGGTTACGGTGCTAATTATACAAGAGTTAGCACCGTCCTAACCAAGGGTTAGTAGTGATTTAGTTTAGATGTTGTATTGATTTTATAATAATCCGTAGTAATTTCCTTGTTTTTAGTAGCGTTTTTTGCTAGTTATCACGGTGCTAACCCCCTATAAGGGTTAGCACCTAATCTCATCCCCATTATATATATGCTGACATATTACCCTAACTACGTGCTAACATCGTTAGATTGTTCCTCACACAACACGTCACGTCATCATAATAGCACATTGTTCCTTTCTACACATTTTCTGGTCCTACCCATGAAAAAACATATCTTACTGAAATCCTCTGAAAATGCAGATTCAGTATACTTCATTGCCTCCAAGCTGCTGAAATCTGTATCACAGGTACGCCCAAATCAAAAAAGAAATGATTTGAGAGAACCGAGCTTTACTCCTTTTTCTTTTTTTGCCCTCTGTGTGCGACTGTGTCCTTCGATTTGATTGTGCAGGGTGCATCGACCACATGCTATGTGGCTCTGAGCCCTCAAGTGGAAGGGGTGGGAGGGAAGTACTTTGCAGACTGCAATGAGAGCAACTGCTCAGCTTTGGGGAATGATGGAGGTGAAGCCCTCAAGCTCTGGGAACACACCCGTGCATTCTTCCACAGAAGGCTGCTGCTGCTGCTGCTTCAACCCACCACCACCTCCACGTCCTTCAGCTCCACAAGATAACATGGCTTGCTTTGCTTCTGGCCTCTGGGGACTATATCTCTTGTAAATTATGGGAAAAGGGATTGGGATGTATATGTATAAGGGGGCTATTACAAGGAATTAGTGATTGTATAAAATGTCCAAAAATGCAAAGTGAAAGTGGTTGTATAATGGTTCGTCAATCCTTCGAAGTTTGCGGCTATTACCATAAATGGTTCTTGATTCAAAACTCTTCTCTTTTGCATCATCCAAAGGTTAAAACTTTAAACTCTAATTCTTATTGAATCATGCGAGTCATGGAGGGTTTCAATTATATTTCAATTGCGTCTATGACCTCGAAACCCAACATTTGAATGCTCTTACAACATATAAACGTGAAGAACCGAATACACACAAATTTTGCAGACTAGATGTTTGCAAAGCTGCCGAATACCTTCCATTTATGCATGAACTGCAACAGAATGAACAATACCAATACATTACATTGAGTGGGTTCTGAGGCGTAGCGCTTGAATGGCAAGCCGAGTCTTAGAGCTCTGAAACCAGTAATTTGATAGCTTACTTTGATACCAAGGTATGTATAAGTATAACTGAACTAGTACTACACCAGGACTGATGTTTGCTATCAACAGAGTCGGAGATAGGAGCTAGCTGAATGACCCAAAGGCTGAAACGTATGGATAAGAGAAATCAACTGTTCAGCGACAAAGTGAAAAAGGAACTTGGTTAAAGAGCTGGTAACCACATAATGCACATACCAGTTCGTCAGGATCCGAGGCCAGATTAACTGTATCGACATGATCATTTCCTGCCCTGTTCAAGGATCGTCTGTTAAATTTCTATGAAATTTGAATGCTCTAAATATAGACAGGCAATAAACCAGACCCAAAGTGTTGAGACTCGCTATGAGGTGAATGAGTCGCATTCGTACGAGGTTCATGGCTTCATGCTTATTGACAATGAAATTAACGAAGGCCATCCTTTTCCAACTTCTGTCCCAACCAAATAGCAATCTGGTATGCATAGACTAAATTGAAGATGATCTATTCTTTCGTTCATTAACAACATAGGCTATTCCTGCTAGTTGGCATATTATGTTGGTATAATTCTCAAAGAGCTCATATCAAAACTTCAGGAGTCATCTTACTCTTGAAGATACCCGTAACCGAGGTGATCGGCGAATTGACTCGGGTGATGGCAATTCTTTTCTGCCCACTCTTCCACGGTTGACTTTCTTTGGGTGTCTCTTGACATCATCTGAACGCTCCTCTCTCTGTGTCGGAGAATCACTTTGGTCAGTGTAAACTGACAAAGCTGGAGCGGATGCAGAAATCGTGGACAGCTCTTGTTGCTGAGGAGTTGAGGATTGCGATAAAAATCCTAATGCACAAGGAGCATATATCGATTACTGTCGGAAAGAATTTTAGTATCATTTGCCAAAACTAGAAGCATAAAAGTTGTGACTAGGGTCCTCACTTTTCCTATTATGTCATCATCAACACAGAAAGAGAACATGAAACGAAAGAAAGCACTAAAATACCAGATGATGCAGCTTCTTGAAACTTTTCCCTCATTGTTCTGACAAACTTGAATAGGCCATTGGTTCTATTCAGCTCATGGATCAACTCTTTGGTATCGTTCAATTGTGGATCACAAGCCAACACTGGGCAGTAAAACAGGAAGGTATAAATGATTAAGATCGGAACTCCACACAAGTTATTGACAAAATATAGCTGTTACTTACAGGAGTATGTATCATTCTCATGGCGAACAGTGAAGGAGTATTCCTCAGATGGATTTTTCACATTGATGTTTCTGAACGTGAATTTGACCCCTATGCAAATGAAAAATTATGCATCATGCAAACCATACCACAGAAATAACAAATACTCAAGAGTCATACAGCAGCCATATTTACCGTGACCGCCTTCTATTTGGAAGCCTAGAATCCTATCATACCATAGCAATGCCTCTTGAGTTTTTCCGCTTAATTCGCTGTCCCGGTTCCCTTTATCTTCATATGTCGCAAGTAAAAAAGAGAGTATTTCAAAATTTTAAACAAAAGAGAGAACTTTTCAATAGAAACATACAGATATTAGAGACAAAGTATATTCACCACAATTAATTCAGTCAGGGTACAGTCTTTCAATGGAGTAAGCAGTCAAGAAAGAGAGGCAATACAACATAACAGATTATGTGAAGTGATTTTACACTGTTCATCCAGAAACTCGCTTCCTTTTGTAGAATGCAAAGCTCATAAATATTAAGGTTTGACTATAGTTCTTTTTATCTTGCTTGTTGTACGATGGTATCCTACTGCTTTTATCTAGTAAAACCATAAATTCTTGGTTTGACTATAGCTCTTTTTTATCCACACGTGCTATATTTACTAGGTTATGGCCAAATGCATTCTGGTGAAGCTGGAAATAAAACGCATGTACCATCATACAACTAAAAGAACAATCTCCAGTAGAATTCACAGCGGTGATCATTTATGTTAAACCATCAAGTTGATGATTAGTCATTTATATTTACTAGCATTAGCATAGTCATCCTAACAATAACGAGAACCTAAATGTGATTGCCAGCAAACAACAATGGACAGTAAATGCACAGATAAGAGTCATAAGACCATTTGAATAAGCTGTATAGAAACAGCCAGTTAGGGAGAAGAAAAGCAAATCACCAAGATATAATTGAGATATAGTTCCAGCATACTCGTCCCTCCTTGATGTTTGAATTTGCAGGGTCTTTCTAAGTTCTTCTAATCGATTCCTTACAGCAGATATGGAGTCTCTTAGTCGCATCTGCTTTGCCTCTTTCTGGGTTTTCACTGTGCGGAAAAGAGAACTTCAGTTAGTTATTGTAAAAATCCATCCTTTCCCATTAGAACAAACTACTCAAGATATGCCATTCAAGAACAGTTAACTTCAACTAGCACCTGAAGAAATTCTGATAGGCAGATAAGAAAAACAGTTACAGATGGCAGAGAAAGAATAAATTAGGGTCGGCTTGGAGGCACCAGGACCAAACATTCCCTTCAAGATCGGCGTAATTTTGGAACACCGAGAAATTTAAACTCAGAATGATACGGTTATGAGACGGACCTGAGAGCACTTTCACAAATTCATCTTCGGCATCTCTCAAGGTGGACTTCAGCTTCCACAATTTCCCTGCACCAAGTCGAGCAAATTAGACCAGAAGCGCCGTCCAAAACCCTAAACCCTAGTCCGCCATGTTCTCTCTCTCTCTCCTCCCGATCTCCCAAAGTAGCTTCAAAACAGAAACGCGAGAATGCCAACAGTTTAGCTTGCTTACCGTGAGTTTGGGCGGTGCATTCGACTTTGGCCTTGATTGAATCCAGGGAGCTGGCGAACTCTTCCTCAAAAGAGTCCATTCTCTCCCGCGCACGGGGTATCGTTTCGTCGCAGATCAAGCGGAGCGACTCCATTGCCGCCCGCTGCCGTGCCGCCGGACGGCCTTCCTGTCTAGGTAGGAGAGAGAATGGGAACGGGGGGAAATAGAACGCAGATGCCAGATGATGAGATGACAGAGAGAGAGGAGAGGGAGACAGTACGGATTTGAAATGGGAAGTTTTGATTTGGTTAGCCCGCCTGAATTTCTGATAATTTCTTGTTGAGCTCTTTTTTTTTCTTTTTTTCTTTTTTTTTTTCTACCTCCCATTGAGAGGATGGGCTCATGGGCCGCAACTCGCAAGTGGCAGGGCAGTGAAATCCATTAGACTTGTTTTTTTTTTTTTTCTACCTCCCATTGAGAACTGTTAGCCTTTCACTTGAGTGTCTTCTTTGTTGGGCTGCTGAATTAACAGCTTGTTTGGATTGACAAAAAAGTAAGGAATTGGAATTCCATTTCCAATTCCATTTCCATATATTATGTTTGGAATAATAAAAAGGTTGAGAATTGAATTCCAATGGGTCTAAAATATGGGAATTACAATTCCTATCAAAAGTGATAGGAATTGAGAGAATGAAGATGGAATTAGTGGGACCCATCAATACTTTTTATTATTTTGTTGACCCACTATCATTTTACTCTCTTTCTCTCTCATTCATATTTCATTTCCCAAAATAAAACAAACATATTACATTATTCATTATGATTAAAAGTGCAATTCATTTCCATAGTTGTAGGAATTATACCAAACACTAGAATTGGAAATGGAATTCTATAAAAATAAAAAATTGAATTCCATTTCCATTTCCATTTCTTCCGGAATTGTATCCAAACAGGCGGTAAGTATTCGGTAGTCCCAGAAATCAAAGCTTCTCATATGAGCAAAGGGTTTGTGCTTTTGTACTACAACGAGACTAACTGTTGAGTTCATCATAATTCTGGGTGATTTCCTTCATTGATCAAATTCTAAAGGCTGAAAATCACTATATAGTATAATGTATATACCATCTGCTGGGAAGGAAATCTCACACTGGCAAATGAAAAATGGCTCCAACCACTCAAGCATATACTGAAAACATTTTGATCACTATGACCTGAACAACAGTCTATGATAACTATCCAAATGTTTGTCTCGTCTCTTTCCCAGTATAGAATCCTTGCGGTTCTTTTGTGTCATTTCTATTTTGTGTTGGACGAATAAAGATAAATCAGAATTGTTTAAAGCATTCCCTTATTAAGAGCCAAATCGTACTGATGACTAAATTAGTGCTGCAAAATTAACGGCAAAAGGACGGAAGCTTGCTTTTTGAAAAGCACCAGAAATGGAAGGCTGTACAGCTAATTCAGGCGACCTTCCTTATGAAATGAACAGCAGCAACGGCTAGTTCCAGGAGGCTATATATATGTTTCTCTCTACGTTCTTGGAGCAACTTTGTGAAAAGCGGTATAGAGCTTTTGGGCAAAGAGGATCAATCGTGATAGAGGAATAGGTTCTATCAGATTGGCGGCTGTAACGGATCTGGAATTGGGATCCGGGTTTCTATACTTCTTTGTTCGCATCATTTCAATTTATCGAGTCTGTTTATGTCTTGTGTTTTGTATCGATTGCTTGATAGGGAAAACTAAATAAAAAGAGTCTCCTAGAAATCAGTGGGTACTGATTCTAGAACGAGGACTGACCCGTAGTTTGGAGAAACTCGTTAAAATTGTCTGTGTCTGTTGGGATGAGATAGCATGCCTACCCATAAAAGGGTTGGCAAAATGACAACCCCTATTAATTATAGGTTTTTAAGGTCATTAATTTGTGTTGCATTTAATAATCTGTATGAATTAAAAACACATATTAATTACTTTCCTTTTTTCAGTGCACTGGTAGTTGTATCAGTGCACTGGTATATTGAACTCATATTAATTACGTTTTTTTTTTGGAACTACCATTGCAGTGATACATCTACCATTGCACCTGTACACAACTACCAGTGCACTGATACAACTACCAGTGCACTGAAAAAAGGAAATTAATTAATATGTGTTTTTAATTCATACAGATTATTAAATGCAACACAAATTAATTACCTTAAAAACCTATAATTAATAGGGGTTGTCATTTTGCCAACCCATACAAGGATTAGCATGCTAACCGATCCCGTGTCTGGTTCATTTCTGCTCTGTGTTTTCTTTCCATTGGTGTGCTTTGCTCTGTTTTACTTTGTTTTTCCGATTAGCTCTGTGCTTAGGTCTAAGCCTGAAGAGTCTTAAGGAAGAAGACGATTTCGTCTCTTCAAAACAGAAGCTCTTTCTGGGCTTTCATACCACTTGAGCCCAAACCTTTTCTTTTTACTCTTTTGGTCATTTTTATCAAAGTTATTATCTTTGGGCCACAGACCAAGTCAAGCCCATTTTTTTGGTCAGAAGAAACTCGACCAACTCCTCTTCTCTCTTCGTCTTTCTTCTTCTCGCCTCTTGTCTGTTGGTTTCTCTGTAAAGCAAAAATCCCCAAATAAAAAAAACTTGAATCCCTAGCCCGTTTTCATTTTGCTTCTCCAAGATGTTTCTGTGTGAAATGGCAGGTTGCAGCAGCTCCATCTTTCTTTCTAAGAAATGAGAAGCTCATTTGTTCCCTCAGTATTTCCTTCACCTCTCTCCCTGGTAGAGGAAAGCTCGTGAAAGCTGCACTGCTCAACTATTGGCGTTCAATAGTGAATGCAGAGAGAGGCAAAAGTGGAGGACAGATTCTGAACGAAGAAAAGTGGAGTTCCAGCAAAGGAAATTGGAGCATGAAAAGGAGACATGGGCACTTGAGAAGAGAGAAAGAGAAGCGAAACTACTTGAACAGGTCAGGCCTATCTTGGAAATGGATTTATCCAAAATGTCGCCCAGAAAGAAGAGGTTTTATAGAACTAGACAAAACGTCATTTTAGGATATGATCAAGATGAGCAGTTTTCCACTCCAAACATATTCATCTACTGCAAGTTATGTCCAAGGGGGAGATGAAAATGGAGACTGAAGCGAGACTTCCAATTATCTCGGTTCAATTAATGATGTGTGATGTGTATCGTTCATCTTGATTGTATTCATGTGCATTGTTTAAACAATAAGTAGACCAATGTGATAAATAAAATTGTTGACGAAGTTTTATTTAGTATAGTTTTTCTTATGTTGTGTTTCTGTTGTGCTTTTATAGAGTTGTGACAACATAAGAAGAACAAAAACTCCATAAGAAGAAAGAGAAAAATGGAGGGAAAAAAAAGAGTTGGGTGTAAAACCTATGGGCAACAGAGAAGTCATCTGTTTGTGTTTATGTGATTTATGGTGCCAACATGCCCACAACAAAAATAAAAAACCAAACTAAACATGTGTTTTGTGTTCCCCTATTTTATTGGAAAACCAAAACAAAAACACGGATACTACACAGGGTCTTAAGAAAATCTAAAGCACAAACTTGATTTGTCAACCTAAACTCGAATGTAGTGTCTTATGATTCCTGAAAAAAACATTTATGTGAAATAAAAACCATTGCATAAAAATGTGTTTTCAAAACTATGATGACACAAAATATACATTCTTATGAACATTTTTTCATAATTTCTTCACAACTTTAGTCATTTTAACTTGGATTTGCTTGATATTTGTTCTAAAGTGCATTTAGTAGCCTCTAGGCTCTATGCGTGTTTTTATACAATTAGCGCCTTTTTGGGTAGTATTTTGATTTTTTCATATTATAACACCATAGTTGACCACAGTATTTTGATTTTTTCAGGCCATAACACCATAGTTGACCACCATGTACGAGTATTGGGAATCATACCTCATAAGACTGTCTCCAACCCAAGCATGCAAATTTAGAGAAATGGAGGTTTTTGGCTTTTTTCATCTCCAACCCACCAATTATTTGGCTTGCAAATTTGGAGAAGTGGGCTTGGGGTGGATAGATAGAAGCTGATATGGAAAAATGCAATGAAAAGGTGGGGGACCATGGGCAGCTCAAGCCCACACGCTGGGGCCCTCCACTTTCCAGCATCTTCTCTTTTTTTTTCTTTTTTTTTTTACTTTCTTAATTTTTGATTGGTTGGTTATGAGTTGGGAAGGCAAATTTAGATGGTTTAGGGTTGGAGCAAAAAAGTGTTTTTGGAAGGTAAAAATGCATATTTGAGAGCTTGAGAGGCTAAATATAACTCTTTGGGTTGGAGTTAGTCTAAGGTAGCATTTAGTAATGGAGCGGGAGAGCACAACCCAAAAATGGTAGGTTTGGTACTCCATCACACGTTCTTCCTCGGTCTGTGGGCTTTTGGTACAAAAAAATCAACGTATTTGGGTTACAAAGGGTCTACTAAAGGTGTGGTACCACTTCGCCCCCTCCCTCCTTCTCAACCCCTTCTACTATTTTGCTTTAAAGTATGGTGATTCGAGGTACAAACTGAACTTGTATAATATTTTTTTTTTATAATGGTGATAAAATTAAATTGCAACAAGAAACAAAACAAAACCAAAAAAAGTACAGTCAAAGGGATCAAAAGGATTGATCCCACAAAGAAACTATAAGAAGAAAAGAAGCGAAAAAAACTGGAAAAGAGGAAGAGAAAAGCGGATCAGACCGCTCCTACTCAAACGCAACAAAAGAAAACAAACCCACAGGGGAAACCCCAACGAAGACGGCAAAACAGAAAGGGACAATAGATAAGGCACAACCAAACATGCCTGAGAGCCAGTCCAAGCCCCAAAAACAGCATCAAAACCTCAAAAGTGAACCACAACCATCATTTGTCAAAAAAAAAAAAACCACAACCATCGACTGATCACCAGCAGCTCAGGCCAGGAAAACCATCCCCATCAACACATACTCCGCGAAGATCAGCATAGCTACTCCCCAGGATCAACATCCCTCCAAAACATCGCGCAGCCAGATCTCACTATGCATTTTCTCAATTTTCCCATGAGCCACTAACCATTCCATTGAGTTCCTTGCAGCTCTTATGGCAACCGCTTTGGCCGTCATAATTTTTTCTTCAAACACCCTTTGATTTCTTTTCAGCCAAACGTACCACCACACACGGTGCATAATACAATCTCTAAACCAATCTTCAGTGTTGTCCGGCTTGGTATGAAAGCTATTTTAATGATCGATGTGATCTCTCTACCTTGTAATGACGAAACTGGTCTGTACCGATTAATAACGCGCCACACCTCTTTTACAAACTCACAGTCCCTAAGCATATGCGAGACAAACTCCTCATTATGGTAGCAGAGGCAGC